TATATATATATAATATAATATATATATAATATATATTTTATATATATATATATATATATATATATATATATATATATATATTTTTTAATATATACATATATATAAGCCCCCGATGGCACAGTGGATTAAACCGCTGAGCAGCTGAACTTGCTGACTGAAAGGTCGCAGGTTCAAATCTGGGGAGCAGGGTGAGCTCCCGCTGTTAGCCCCAGCTTCTGCCAACCTAGCAGTTCGAAAACATGCAAATGTGAGTAGATCACTAGGTACCACTCGGTGGGAAGGTAACAGTGTTCCATGTAGTCATGCTGGCCACATGACTTTGGAGGTGTCTACAGACAACACCAGCTCTTCGATTTAGAAATTGAAATGAGCACCAACCCCCAGAGTCGGACACGACTGAACTTAATGTCAGGAAAACCTTTACCTATATATATATATATATATATATATATATATATATATATATATATGGCAGATATATACTGTGTATGTATATATCTATATATACACATACACCATATATAATCTATATAATATATAATCTATACATTATATTATCTACCATATATAATCTATATATTCATTTATTGTGTATATTGATTTATTATATTATGATATTATAATATATTACACTATGCAACACGATTTTCATTCCTGGGTATATATAAAACATATCATACATATAAGGTGTGTATGTGTGTATATGTGGTATATAAGGTTATTATATATACTATACATTTATATACACAAACTCACACCTTGTCTATACTATATATATATGCCATATAAATACCATATATACATACATACACACTTTCTCTCTTTCTCTCTCTCGATAGATAGATAGGTAGATCTGTGCCATATTATATAACTATAGCAATCAAAGGGGAAATCCCTTGAATACAATGGCTGTGCCTCCCACGGATGATGGAGATGCCAGATTAGGGGACCTGTTTTGTGCCAGAAGAAGGGCGTGAAGGAGAAGCCCTGCATGGAGAACGCATGACTCACGCCTTGCGATGGGTGGGTGACCTTTGGGAAGGATCCCACTGAGTCATCCTCGCCCACTGTCCAGGTGCACAGGACAAGCCGTCCCCATGGTCTTGCTCTTGGACCCGAAACGAATTGCAAAAAGCAAATATTTGGAGGGAGAAAAAAAAACCCTACAGTGGAAGATGTTTGGTGGAAGGAGCCCCCTTCCTTCTGGGAGGGTTTGTAAGAAGTTGCTGGATGGCCATCTGTCGGGAGGGATCAGATGGTGCCTAGTTTTCTATGGTGTATTCCTTCCTGGTGGTCTTTTTTGGCAGGGGAGTTATTATTATTAATAATAATATTAATTATATAACAACAACAACAATAATAATAATAATAATAATAATAATAATAATAATAATGCAACAACAACCTCTTACAACTTTAGGATTCTTTATCTCCCAGCTGTTAGGAATTGTGGGAGTTGAAGTCCAAATCACTTTATAACAAGCCTATGCTTGTTATAGAGGGATTGGATGTTGTTGTTTTTGTATTATTATTATTATTTGAAACACAACAAGATGAGTCCACAGCAGACACTCTGCTGGTTGTTGTATTGGATCACACGTCGGACACTTCCCAAGTGTCTAGGACTGTGTGATGTATCGGCGAATAATGCGTGCAGATCCCAGTAAGGTGGCCTTTTGCAGCTGGCAGATTGTAATTTTGTCAGTGCTGATTGTGTTTAAGTGCAGGCCAAGGTCTTTAGGCACTGCACCCAGTGTGCCAATCAGCACGGGGACAACCTTGACTGGCTTGTGCTAGAGTCTTTGCAGTTCGATCTTTAAATCCTCATATCGTATCAGCTTTTCTAGTTATTTCTCTTCAATCTTGCTGTCACCTGGGATTACCTAGCTGATATAATAATAATAATAATAATAATAATAATAATAATAATAATCTATATAAATAAAAATGTAATGGTTGTGGGATTAACAGAACTCAACAACCACTGGATGAATTGACACCAAATTTGGACACAAAACACCTAACAACCCAATGTATGTCCTTCACTCAAAAAATTGATTTTTGTCATTTGGGAGTTGTAGTTGCTGGGATTTATAGTTCACCTACAATCAAAGAGCATTCTGAACCTCACCAACAATAGAATTGAACCAAACTTGGCACACAGTTCTCCCATGACCAGAAAATACTGGAAGGGTTTAGAGGGCAGTGTCCTTTGGTTTTGGAGTTGTAGTTCACTTGCATCCAGAGATCACTGTGGAGTCAAACAATGATGGATCTGGACCAAACTCTACAAGAAAACTCAATATGCCCAAATGTGAACACTGGTGGAGTTTGGGGGAAATAGGATCTTGACATTTGGAGTTGTAGTTGCTGGGATTTATAGTTCACCTACAATCACAGAGCATTCCGAACCCCACCAACGGTGGAATTGAACCAAACTTGGCACACAGTTCTCCCATGACCAACAGAAAATACTGGAAGGGTTTGGTGGGCAGTGTCCTTTGAGTTTTGGAGTTGTAGTTCACCTGCATCCAGAGATCACTGTGGACTCAAACAATGATGGATCTGGACCAAACTCTACAGGGAAACTCAATATGCCCAAATGTGAACACTGGTGGAGTTTGGGGGAAATAGGGTCTTGACATTTGGAGTTGTAGTTGCTGGGATTTATAGTTCACCTACAATCAGAGCATTCTGAACCCCACCAATGATAGAATTGGGCCAAACCTCCCACACAGAACCCCCATGTGGGTCACAGCAACGCATGGTAGGAGACGGCTAGTAATAATAATAATTATTATTATATCATCTGTCAAGAGGAATCAGATTGTGTCTTCCTGCCCGGCAGGAAAACGGGGGTTGGACTGGATGGCCTTTCGAGGTCCCTTCAAATTGTGTCTCAAATTGTGGCCCAAACAATGAAACAGGAAATTGCACTTTCAAACTAGGGACAGAAAAGAAAATTCAAGTTTTGTGACATAGTGTTATGTGATTTGGTACTTAAGTGAGTTTCTGAACACACCTTTGCCGTATCCTTGGCATCCCAGGCCTGAGTGTCCCTTGGCTAGCTGGACTGTCTTGTGACCCCCAAAATAGCTGGGAGGGAACACAGGCCAGAGCCAAGGACACTGGTTGGGATCTCCGGTTTCAATGGGAAGCCTCCTGGTACATTTCCATCCTGAGCGTTCTAGGAAAGGTATGAGTCAACTTGGGCCCTCCAGGTGTTTTGGACTCCAACTCCCACCATTCCTAACAGCTGGAATGGTGGGAGTTGAAGTCCAAAACACCTGGAGGGTGGAAGTTGGCCCTTGTCTGCAATTGGCCTTCCCAAAGTTGGGGAAATGTTGCTTTCTGGGACTCCCAAAATTATTAATATTGTTATATTTATAGCCCGCTTCATCTCCCCAAAAGGGATTCGAATCCCCCCCAAAATGTCATGGCTTACAAATGTGCCAGGGGTGGGAAGGGTGGTCCATGACCTCCTTTCTTGGAGTTGTGGGGAACCATAAAAGTAGGCCATGCCTTAGCCTGTAGCTCTCCAGTCTCAATGGGAAGCCTCCTGGTACATTTCCATCCTGAGCGTTCCAGGAAAGGCACGGGACAACTTGGGCCCTCCAGGTGTTTTGGACTCGATTATAACAACAACACCCTCTTCCAACTTTAGGATTCTTTATCTCTCAGCTGTTAGGAATGGTGGGAGCTAAAGTCCTGTAGGGACGAAATTTGGCCCATGCCTGATCTTGAGGGACTGGATGTCTATCTCTCGGGAGGGATCGGATAGTGTCTTCCTGCTTGGCAGGAAAAAAAAGGGGGGTTGGGCTGGATGGCTCCTGGAGGTCACTTCCAACTCTAGCATTCTATATATAGCCCAGGAAGCTTCTATTGTCCATGTGGTTGGATGGCCATCTGTCAGGAGGGATCGGATTGTATCTTCCTGTCTGACCGGAAAAAAGGGGGATTGGACTGGATTGCTTCTAGAGGTCACTTCCAACTCTAGCGTTCTATATATAGCCCAAGAAGCTTCTATTGTCCATGTGGTTGGATGACCATCTGTTGGGAGGGATCGGATTGTATCTGGCAGGAAAAAAAGGGGGGTTGGACTGGATGGCTTTGGGAGATCGCTTCCAACTCTAGCATTCTATACATAGCCCAGGAAGCTTTTATTGCTCATGTGTTTGGATGGCCATCTGTCAGGAGGGATCCGATTGTGTCTTCCTGTCTGGCCAGAAAAAGGGGATTGGACTGGATGGCTTCTGGAGGTCACTTCCGACTCTAGCGTTCTATATATAGCCCAGGAAGCTTCTAATGTCCATGTGGTTGGATGGCCATCTGTCAGGATGGATCGGATTGTGTCTTCCTGTCTGGCCAGAAAAAGTGGGGTTGGACTGGATGGCCTTTGGAGGTCCTTTCCAACTCTAGCACTCTATATATAGCCCAGGAAGCTTCTAATGTCCGTGTGGTTGGATTGCCATCTGTCGGGAGGGATCAGATGGTGTCCCGCCTTTGGGGTCCCTTCCAACTCTAGGAATGCATCGAAAGCAGAAAACCAGTCCAATTGTGGCCAGTGTCCCATTGAAAGCCATTGGAACTGCATCCAAACCCACAACAACACTCCAACCAAGAAACACGTTGAGAATAAAGTCTGTTTTTATTATCCATGTACAAAACATTTGAGAAACAAACATATACATATATATACATACACACACACACACTCATATCAATCAGCTTCCGAATACAAGTCCACAAAGAGGTGCACGGAACATAGGTTTGGGGTGCAAACTGGTCTTGCAAAGCTCTTGGAATCTGTGCTTTTGAGGGTCAGTTCTCTCCCTTTTCCTTTGCATTAAGATGAGGTTGAATCTCACCCCAAAAAAGGGAGACGAAATGGTAAACAACCCCAAAAACGGGCAGCTAAAGGTACATATGATCCAAAAAGGGAAGCAAAAGGCACATAATCACCCCCCCCCAAAAAGTGGGAAAAGATGCATGATACCCCAAAAGGAGTGGGTGCACATGCTGCAAAAAGGAAGGAAGGAAAAGGTAAACAATTCAAAAATGGGGGAGCTAAAGGCACAAAAACCCCTCCAAAAAAGGTAGAAAATGCACATACACCCCCCAAAAGGATGGGAAAGGCACAATAAACCCTCCAAAAAAGTTTGGCACAGGCACAGAATCCCCTAAAAAAGTGTGGGAAAGGCACAGATTTCCCCCAAGAAGGAAGGAAAAGGTAAACAACCCCCAAAAGCAAGGGAAGGAAAAGGCACGCTGATCCCCCAAACCATCCCAAGTCGATGGCTTCTCTTTCTGCCCCCTCTTCTTGTTCCTTCAGGACCCCTTTATTCCAAGCCAAGGCAGTCCAAATCCCAAGTTTCGGGTTTCGAAAGAGGATGACGCTCCCCTGTATTCCTGAACCCGGGACTGCACCGAAACCACTTCGGAGGGAGGGGAGGAGGCATGCCCCTGACCCCATTTCCTGGCTTAATGTGGGCGACCGGCTGCCGGTTAAACCGGTTCGGAGAGAGGAACCAGATCCCAATCAATCCCAAAGCCAGTCTCGATGAGCTTTTGCCACTGCTCTCGATCCCACATCGTCTGGGCGAGCCCCACGTGTGAGCGCATGGAGGGACACCTTCTCCCTCCAGCTTCTTCATCCTCCCTCCGTCCACTGCATTTTCACCATCCCTTTCTCCGTGTTTAAGCCAGCTTGAAAAATAGCCTTTTTCCTTTTCAACATGTCATGCAGCGAGGGCGGAGAGCGGCACTGTCAGTGGGCGGATTGGGGTCCACCTGGAAACAAAAGGAAAGGGGGTGTTATTATTTCTAATATAATTAATAACATAATTAATAAAAGTAATTATTACCAAGTATTAACTAATTTTGCAACATTATTACTATTAAACATATATATATATATATATATAATATTAATGTATGACATTATATCATTACTAATATATTATTAGTAATATTACATATTATATAATGTAATATATTAATTTTATATAATGCTATATTATATAGCACTATGTAATATTGTATTACATGATATAATGCAATATGGTAATAATACCATATAGCATTATATAATGTAATACAATATTATATTAATAAGTAGCATAGCACAGTATACAATATATTATTAATACATTATTAATAATAATGTAGTATATAATCCTATCCTCTCTGAGTTGTCTTTGATCCACTCTTTTGGGCTTCATGCACATCTGCTTTTTCCCCCAATTCTGGCCGAATAGCTTAACCATTGGTTCATCCCATTGAGTAAGAGATCCCCACGTGGATAATATAATACGGGGGAGTGGTGGAGGCTCCTTCTTTGGAAGCTTTTAAACAGAGGCTGGATGGCCATCTGTCAGGGGTGATTTGAATGCAATATTCCTGCTTCTTGGCAGGGGGTTGGACTGGATGGCCCATGAGGTCTCTTCCAACTCTTTGATTCTATGATAACATTGTTTAATAATTACAATATATTACATATTATATATTAATAATTATATAGTATAATATGTTACATTATATAATACTACAATATATTACATTACATACATTATAAATTATATATTAACATATTACATTATATATTATATTATTAATAATTTATTATATTAATAATATAATACTATAATATATTGCATTCTATATAATATAATATATATACTAATAATTTAATATTATTAAATACTACATATTAAAATACTATTATATTACTATTAATTTTTTTTTTTGTCGTGTCAGGAGCAACTGCTCCTGTTGTGAGAGAATTGGCCGCCTGCAAGGACGTTGCCCAGGGGACGCCTGGATGATTTTTGATGTTTTATCATCCTTAGGGAGGCTTCTCTCATGTCCCCGCATGAGGAGCTGGAGCTAATAGAGGGAGCTCATCCACCTCTCCCCGGGTTCGAACCTGCGACCTGTCAGTCTTCAGTCCTGCTGGCACAGTGCTTTAACCCACTGCGCCACCGGGGGCTCGCTATTAATAATTTAATACTAGAATATATTTTATATAATACATATTATATTATTAATAATTTATATTAATAATATACTATAATATATTATATTCTATATAACATATATACTAATAATTTAATATTATTCAATACTACATATAATAATACTATTATATTACTATTAACAATTTAAAACTAGAATATATTTCATATAATACATATTATATTATTAATAATTTCTCAAGTCACGCCTGACATGACCAAAAAAAAAATAATCTAACAATTTTAATAGTAATATCCCACTCATGTTAATTCCCTATCCCGATTCTCACCTCGGAGTAGAGCGGAGGGGGCCGCAAGCGGAACTCCTGGATGTAGGCAAAGAAGGGCCCCTCAAGGAGCAGGCTGGGGGGCCCAATGGGGCTGGGCGGGGAGAGGGCCTCCGGAGGGTCCTCACCAGACACCACAGAAGAGTACTCAGGGGGAGCTGAGAAGAGAAGGAAGAAAAGACATTATTATTATTATTTACGGCCAGATTATACAGAAAAACAGACCACACAGGCACATTAGATCCAAGTGTTTGGGGTTCGTCTCTGGGATATTATTGTGGCCATATTGGTATTATTATTGCCATATTATTAATATTATGCCAATATTAATAATATGGCCACATTATTAGTATTATGTTTATTTACACCCCCCCTTTTTTCACTCAAGCCCCACCTTCCCCAAAAATAGATTTGCAAATTCTGGGATACTTGTATGACTATAGTTCAAAAGGAACCAAGTTTCTAGTCCTCAATAAGCTTGGAACCTTTCCTGTCATTTCCTGCAATGAATGCCTGGATCCACTGCCTTCTGGGGAATCTCCTAACGGGTCGTTCTATGCAGTCTCCCCTCCAAGCCCCAACCAGAGCTGCCTCTGCTTACCTTCCGGCTGCTCGGCAATGCCCAGGCGGCCCCAGTCCAGGCTGAGGCTGTACTGGCTGCTGACGGAGGAGGTGCGGCTGCCAAAGGGGTGCAGCGGGATGGTGCCCATCACCAGCGGGAGCTCCAGAAGAAGCTTTGAGGTGCCAGGGATGTCAATGCAGACCTAGTAGGAAAGAGGAGAAAGAAAAAGGGTTGGGTTAGAAAGGGAAAATAAGGAGGGAAAAGGAGGAAAAGAGGACAAGAAAGTTGGGTTGAAAAGAGAAAGGAGGAGAAAAGGGAAGGCAAGAGAAAGAGAAAAGAGGGGAAGCAGGAGAAAGGGGTAAAGGAGAAACAGAAGGGAAAGTGGAAGAATGGGAAAAGTGGAAGAAAAAGAAGGGGAGGATGAGAAGGAGAGTAATGGGTTAGAAAGGGAAAGGAGGAGGGGGAAAAGGGAAGGCAAGAGAAAGGAAAAGAAGGGAAAGCAGGAAAAAGGAAACACAGGAAAAGGGGGAGAAGAGGAAAAGAAGGGAAAGTGGGAGAGCAGAAAAGAGAAAATAGAAGAAAGGGAAAAGGAGGGAAGGTGGGTGAATGGGGGGAAAAGAAAAGGAGAAGGGAAAGTGGTAGAAAGAAAAAGGGAAAGCAGAAAAAATGGGAAAGAAGGGAAAGTGGGAGAAAGAAAAAAGAGGGGAAGAAGGAGATGTGTTAGAAATGGAAAAAAGAGGGGGGGAAAAGGAAAGCAGGAGAAAAAAGAAGGGAAAAAAGAAGGAAGGGGGGAGAAGGGAAAGCAAGAGGGAAAAAAATGGGAATTCGAGGGGAGGGAAAAAAAGGAAAGTGGGAGGAAAGAGAAAAGAAGGGAAAACAGGGGAAAGGGAAATAGTCAGCTGGCCTCACCTTGAGCTGGTACTCGACGTGGAGGATGCGGCACTGGAGGATGGAGGGCCCGACGGGTGGGATCTTGAGGGCGCGCCCATGCCAGACACCTCGCGAATGGGGTGCCACGGGCTCTCCTGCGATGCTGGCCACCACTGCCTTCTTCTCCTTGCGCGCCCCCCGCGCCAGGAAGGTCTGCACCTGGATGATGGCTGCCTTGGGGGATACCGCCCGTGAGGTCCCGTTGTCAATCTCCGCAAAGATGGGGATCACCTCACCTGCAGAAATATTGAAGATGGGGGAGAGATAGTGTCAGAGAGGGGAGCCCAATGCAAACCCCAAATTCCACAAGATTAAGGGTTCCGTTCTTATATTACATTTTGTAGGGAAACAGGATGTTTTTGGGAGGCAAGTTCAAATCTTCACTCAACCATAAAAATCCACTAGATTGCCTTGGCCAAGTCACTATTCTCAACCCCAGGAATAATAATAATAATAATAATAATAACTAATTAATTATTTTTATTATTACATTACTGCTTTTCTGTATTGCATTGTGCTACTATTTTACTATGTTATATTACATTATTTTACTAGATTACATTTTTAGCTACATTATATTACTTTTACTATATTATGTTATGATGTTAGATTATTTTACTATATTATATTATGAGTTTACTATTTAATTTAATATAGCAAAATAACTTAATATAATATAGTAAAATAACAATGTAGAAAAATAATAGCTTAAGTTTGTATTTGACTATTACATTACATTATTTGCCTATATTACATTACTATATTATATTGCATTATAGTATATTATTTTACATTTCACTATTATTTTATTTTATTATATTACTATATCAAACTACTCTGTTATACTACACAATAACCATGTCAATATTGTTATATTATTATTACTATTATTAATATAATTTTCAAGCAAACCATTTCTGAACCACTCTTCCAAAGAAAATCCCTATATACAATAGACTCTCAGTTAACCAGAACTCCTGTTTCTCTCAAGCAAGGAGAATTGACATTTATCCACCCATCAATTCACATGGATGCCATGGATTAAATAATAATAATAAATATAATAATTTATTATTATTTCCAACCAATATTAAATTATTATATTTATTATTTCCAACCATTCCACATGAATGCCATGGACCAATTGAGTGTCTAACGTAAAACAATAATTATAATAAATGAGATCCAAACAAAGGGCTCACCTGGTGTGTAGCCCTTCCGATCAATCTTGGCCGAGACGGAGACTTGACCGCGGTTGCAATACCAAGTTCGGGCCAACTTCTCCTTGGCGCCAGCCTGGGGAGCCTGAATACAAAGGAAAGAGGGAAAAAATAGGTTTAATGGGTTGAGACGTGATGAGATGAGAAAAACACACTTGCAGGACAATGTCGCTCCCGCAGTGACAAAGTTTGTGCAATTTGATAAACCAACTACTACTAGAATAATAATATACTAATAATATATAATAACAATTATTGTGTTACATAGTATAACAATAACAGACAGGAGACCTCCAAGGGTCATCTAGATCGACCAGGCGGGGATTGTAATGAATGGGAAAGAGATCTCCAAGGGTCATCTAGACTGACCAGGCTGCCATTGCAATGAAGGGGGAAAGGGTCATCTAGACTGACCAGGCTGGGAGTGTAACATATAGGAAAGGGGGCCTCTAAGGGTCATCTAGACTGACCAGGCTGGGAGTGTAATATATAGGAAAGGGGACCTCCAAGGGTCATCTAGACTGACCAGGCTGGGATTGCAATGAAGGGGGAAAGGGACCTCAAAGGCTCATCTAGGCTGACCAGGCTGGGATTGCAATGAAGGGGAAAGGGACCTCCAAGGGTCATCTAGACTGACCAGGCTGGGATTAAAATGAAGGGGGAAAGGGACCTTCAAGGGTCATCTAGACTGACCATGCTGGGATTGCAATGAAGGGGGAAAGGGACCTTCAAGGGTCATCTAGACTGACCAGGCTGGGATTGTAATGAAGGGGGAAAGAGACCTCCAAGGGTCATCTAGACTGACCAGGCTTGGATTGCAATGAAGGGGGAAAGGGACCTTCAAGGGTCATCTAGACTGACCAGGCTGGGATTGCAATGAATGGGGGAAAAGGACTTACCAGCAAAGCAGGGGTGTTGATGTCAATGGGCTCGATGACGGTGAACTCCTTCTTGGCCCGCTTGACTGAAGCCCATGGCCGGTGGAGCTTGGCCTTGACCCAATACCGGACGTTGCCGTGCTTGCCCTCAAAGGAAGTGGCCAGCGTCCTGATGGAAATAGTAAAAATATTTTTTAATTCCAAAAATATTCAAAAATCAGGGCATAATATACAATAGAGAATACAATCGAATAGAATAGATAATATATAATGTAACGTGCCCATATATTATAATAGAATACATATTAATATATTTGGACTTACTCAGGAAGCTGGAAAGTGAATGGGAATTCGTGCTTTCCTGCAGGGAGGATTGTGAAGCCTTCATTTTCTGGGAAAGGAAAGAGAAACAAGACTTAAACAGAGGCAAAACAAGGCAGGAAACTGGGCAAAAAGTCAGCACACAAAACCCAACAAACGGGGCGATATATTATGTATTCTTGGAACAATTCAAGAACAAGAAGGAAAAACACCAAAGGGGTCACGGGTTCAGATTTCTCGGCCTGTCCTGTTATGCAAGCCCAATGTCCAAGAATAGCCTTCACTTCCCAGAAAAAGCTGGAAAAAAACAAAACTGCTTTGGAAAGCAACGAGAAGGGCCAAACGAAGGGGAAAACACTCTTCACTCGCCCAGAGGCTGACAAAACACACACAGAGAAAGAGCAAAAGCCTTCTGCACATGCTCAGAGGCACACCAGAGAGGCAGAAGAGAAAGAAAATACTCTGCACATGCTCAGAGGCACATCTGAAGAGGGAGGGAGTGCTCTGCACATGCCCAGAGGCCCAGCAGAGAGAGCAAAAAGAGGAAGAACTCTGCACATGCTCAGTGGGCTCCTACTATAAGTCAAAGGAGCACTTTGCCCATGCTCAGCAAGACTGAAAAAGGGAATCCTCTGCAGGAATCGTTCTGTACTTGCTCAGAGGCGCCCTGCTAAAAGTCCAGAGCTAGCAGAAAAGGAACACTCTACACATGCTCAGAGGCACAGTAGAGAGGCCAAAGAGAGAGAGAGAGAAAGCATTGTACTCGTGCTCACAAAAGAAAGGCAGGAAAGGGAGAAAATAACACATGAAGTGGGGAGAGAGCCCTTTGCATGTGCTCAGAGGCACAGCCTGGTCTCATAATAGCAAGGGGAACACTGTATGCCCTCAGAGGCACAGTGATAAGGCAGGAGAGAGAGAAAACACTCTGTTCATGCTCAGAGGTCCATTTAAAGATGAAGGGAGACCTCTGCCCATGCTCAAAGGCACAAGAGAGTCAGAACAGCAGGTGAGCACTCTGCCCATGCCCAGAGGCCCATCCAAAGAGGGAGAGTGTACTCTGCCCATTCTCAGAGGCCCATGTGAAGATGAAAGGAGTCATCTGCCCATGCCCAGAGATATGAGAGAGAGGGAGAAAACACTCTGCCCATGGCCAGAGGCCCATCCGAATAGCACGGCAGCCCTCTGCCCATGCTCAGAGGCACAAAAGAATCAAAAGAGGAAGAGAACACTCTGGACATGCTGAGAAAGAGAAGAGAGAAAAAGTAAACATTCTGCACATGCTCAGGGGCCCACGTGAAACCGGAGAGCCCTCTGCCCATGTTCAGAGGCACAAGAGGGAGAAAACACTCTGCCCATGCCCAGAGGCCCATTTGAAGATGAAGAGTCCTCTGCTCAGAGACACAAGAGAGTCAGATGAGCAAGGGAGCACTCTGTGTGCGCTCAGAGGCCCATCTGAAGAGGGAGAGAGCCCTCTGCATATACTCATAGAATCATAGAATCAAAGAGTTGGAAGAGACCTCATGGGCCATCCAGTCCAACCCCCTGCCAAGAAGCAGGAATACTGCATTCAAATCACCCCTGACAGATGGCCATCCAGCCTCTGTTTAAAAGCTTCCAAAGAAGGAGCCTCCACCACACTCTGGGGCAGAGAGTTCCACTGCTGAAGGGCTCTCACTCAGAGGCACAAGAGAGGAAGAAAACACTCTGCCCATGCCCAGAGGCACTGCAGAGAGTAAGAAGAGGGAGAGAGCACTCTGCCCATGCCTAGCAGCCCATTTGAAGAGGGAGAGAGCACGACCCATGCCTAGGAGCACAAGAGAGAAGAAAACACTCTGTCCATGCTCAGAGGCACAAGAGAGCATCAGAAGAGCAAGAAGACACTCTGCCCATGCTCAGAGGCCCATTTGAAGAGGGAGAGAGCCCTCTGCCCATGCCCAGAGGCATACCAGAGTGTTAGAAGAGGGAGAAAACACTCTGCATCTACTGAGGCACAAGAGAGAGGAGGAGAGTACTCTGCCAATGCTCAGGGGCCCTTTTGAAGAGGGAGAGAGCCCTCTGCCCATGCCCAGAGGCACAAGAGAGTGTCAGAAGAGCAAGAAAACACTCTGCCCATGCTCAGAGGCCCATTTGAAGAGGGAGAGACCCCTCTGCCCATGCCCAGAGGCACAAGAGAGCGTCAGAAGAGGGAGAGAGCCCTCTGCCCATGTTCAGAGGCACAAGAGGGAGAAAACCCTCTGCCCATGCCCAGAGGCCCGTTTGAAGATGAAGAGTCCTCTGCCCATGCTCAGAGACACAAGAGTGTCAGAAGAGCAAGGGAGCACTCTGCGTGCGCTCAGAGGCCCATCTGAAGAGGGAGAGAGCACTCTGCATATACTCAGAGGCACAAGAGAGGAAGACAAGACTCTGCCCATGCCCAGAGGCACAAGAGAGCATCAGAAGAGCAAGAAAACACTCTGCCCATGCTCAGATGCCCATTTGAAGAGGGAGAGAGCCCTCTGCCCATGCCCAGAGGCACAAGAGAGCGTCAGAAGAGGGAGAGAGCACTCTGCATATACTCTAGAGACACAAGAGAGAGGAAGAGAACCCATTTGAAGAGAAAGAGAGCACTCTGCCCATGCCCAGAGGCATAGCAGAGAGTCAGAAGAGGGAGAAAACCCTCTGCATCTACTGAGGCACAAGAGAGAGGAAGAGAGCCCTCTGTCCATGCTCAGAGGCTCACCTGGGTGTCCCCCGGGGAGGAGGCTACACCGGTGGCGAAGGAAGTCCTGCTGCTCGGCGTAGCTCTGAGTGTAGGCGGTGCTGGAGCCGGCGCTGCGGGACTCGGTCCAGTGGACGCGGGCGGCGCCGGCAGCGACGAGGCGGAGCTCTCCCAGGCGAGCTTGGCCGGACAGCTCCAGCACCACGCGCCCCGACACCGCCTCCCCGGAGCTGAACACCGGCGGCGAAGGAGAGGCCGGCTCGGGACCCTCGGGGCAGTCCAGCACGATCACGAAGCGCTTCACGCGGTCAAACAACATCTTCTCCAAATCAACAAGCCAAGCCGAACTAAGTTGTTGAAGGTTTGTTGTAAGTCAAACTGTTCCCTTTGCAGCTGAGCGAGCTGCTTTTATAGCCTCCACGCGATGGAACCACGCCCCTCCATAACCGTAGCCAATGAGCGCAAAGAGGGCGTCGTTATGAGGCCACGCCCCTCTTGAGGAAAACCCTTATGGCGACACTCCCGCCAGCACGCAGCCAATCGGAAAAGAAAGGGCGGGGCTGAAACTGTCTCTTTTCATCGCCACGCCCCTCAAGGGAAAACCGACAGCCAATGAGCGCCAAAGGGGGCGCGGCTTCAAAGGGGGGAAAAAAACACAACACAACAACCTGCCGCGCATGCGCAGAAGCCGAGGCAAGCCAAAACTGACTTGGACTGGCCGAAATGGGCAGGAAAAATCCGGCCAGAAGTGACCTTTCCTCCACTGGGCAGCAGCCAAGTTTTTAGGGAGGAAAACAAAAGGGGAAAAAGGCTGGGAAAGTAATGAGATTGCAGGTGGAAGCTACTTTTCTGGTTCCTAGATGCCTAAGAGACTCCCAAAGTCTGGACATTTTGGAGTTGGAGGTCCTGGGATGTATAGTTCACCTGCAATCAATGAGCACTCTGAACTCCACCAAAAGGGGAAAATGGCTGGGAAAGTAATGAGATTGCAGGTGGAAGCTACTTTTCTGGTTCCTAGATGCCTAAGAGACTCCCAAAGGCCAACGAGTCCAACTCATTTTTGCCTTTATGCAGGAAGAGCACAATCAAAGCACCCCCAAAAGATGGCCATTCAGCCTCAATAATAATAATACTGTCGAAGGCTTTCATGGCTGGAATCACTAGGTTCTTGTAGGTTTTTTCGGGCTATAGGACCATGTTCTAGAGGCATTTCTCCTGACGTTTCGCCTGCATCTATGACAAGCATCCTCAGAGGTAGTGATGCTTGCCATAGATGCAGGCGAAACGTCAGGAGAAATGCCTCTAGAACATGGTCCTATAGCCCAAAAAAACCTACAAGAACCTAATAATAATACTGTCGAAGGTTTTCATGGCCGGAATCACTGGGTTGTTGTAGGTTTTTCCGGGCTATATGGCCATGCTCTAGAGGCATTTTCTCCTGACATTTCACCTGCATCTATGGCAAGCATCCTTGTCTTACTTACTTAGGCGATCCCTCATTGGCCGAGTAGGATAGTCTTCCAGGATCAGTGTTCCGGTGGATCCGTAGGTGACTGTGGAGCCCTATTCTTGATCTGCATCTTCTCCTGCAGTGAGGGCATTGCTTTCTAGGTGGAAGGCGGTCTTGGTCGGGGTTGGCCTGACGTACCTTCCTCTTGGCACGTTTCTCTCTTTCGCCCTCCATTCGTGCCTCTTCAAACTCCACAGCACTGCTGGTCACAGCTGACCTCCAGCTGGAGCGCCCAAGGGCCAGGGCTTCCCAGTTCTCAGTGTCTATGCCAGAGTTTTTAAGGTCGGCTTTGAGCCCATCTTTAAATCTCTTTTCCTATCCACCAACATTCCGTTTCCCATTCTTGAGTTCGGAGTAGGGTTAATAATAATAATAGTAAATGGAATTGGAAGAGACCCCAAGGACCACCCAGCCGAACCCCTTCTGCCTTCATGCAGGAAGAAGACAAACCGATCCCTCCCGACAGATGGCCTTCCAGATTAATAATATTATTATTACAAATATTAATACTAATTACGGTATTTCCTACCCTTATACTGAAGCCTGGGAAGGAGGATGACCATTTGTATGCGTTAATGTTTTGTGCAACTCTTGATTGAGCATCCTCATAGCCATGGACTACAACTCCCATCACCCCGTTTGCTAATAGGATCTGCAGTCCAGCCTAGCATCACAGTTGACTGTTTTGCCAGTGTGGTCTGTGCATGTCTCCCTGTTTAGCATTTATTTAGGATCCTTTGGGCCCGACTCTCTGAAAAGAGTCAATGCACGTGCAAATCATGGTGGAAAATGCAAAAAAAAAAATACAAAATGCAAAAAAATAATATATAACCCCTGCACTATGAACCCAAACAATGATGGATCTGGACCAAACTTGGCATGTATACCCGATATGCCCAAATTTGAATACTGAGGAGAATTGGCCTGGACATTTTGGAGTTGGAGGTCCTGGGATGTATAGTTCACCTGTAATCAATGAGCATTCTGAACTCCACCAAAGATGGAATCGGACCAAACTTGGCACATGGAGCCCCCATAACCAGCAAAAAATACTGGAAATCTCTGGGAAAGTTCACCTTGATTTGAGGGAGTTATAGTTCACCAACATCAGAGAGGACTGTGAACCCAAATACTGATGGATCTGGACCAAACTTGGCAAACAGACCTGATATGCTGAAATCTGATCATTGGAGGCATCTGGGGGGAACTGACCTTCCTTTCTGGGAGTTGTAGTTCACCCACAACCAGAGAAACGGTGCCCTCCACCAATGACGGACCTGGACCAAACTTGGCACACAGAACTCCCATGACTAACTCACCCTACTGGTTTAAGGGGACTGACTGAGTTGTAGTTTACCCGACAGCCAGAGAACACACTGAATGCCACTGATGATACATCCGGAGCACACATGTCCAACATAACAAACTTTTAATGACTGATGGGTTTCAGGGGTTTTTCCTGCCATGATGGGAGTTGTAGTTCACCCACAACCTTATGCATTTTGTACATTTTTGACTTTTTCAAATAACCCGGGCAATGGCAAGTATCCAAGCTAGTATTAAATAAACCCTGCACATGCAAAATGTGGTGGAAAATTGAAAAAATGCAACACACACAAAAAAAAAATACTGCATATGTAAAAGATGGTGGGAAAATGCATTTTTTTTTTTGCAAATTGCACAAAATGCACTTTTTTTGCAAATTGCACAAAACTGCACTTGCAAAATATGATGGGAAAATGCCAAAGAAATATGCAATATGCAAAAAAAACTGCATATGTAAAATATGGTGGAAAAATATTGAAAAAATAATGCAAAAAACCCCACATGCAAAATATGGTGGAAAAATGCAAAAAAATAATAATGCCAAATGCCAACAAGAAAAACCTGCACATGGAAAATATGGTTTAAAAATGCAGAAGAAGTGCACATGCAAAACGTTAAATGCAAAACAAAAAAATGCACCTCAAAAACTATAATGGGAAAAAAGCATCTTCTTTTTCAGATTTGGAAGCCCAACATGTTTGGAGGAAGGAGAAGCAAATGTCAGTTTGCAAGTGCTGTGCTCGCTCTGCCATCTGGTGGAGACAACCAACACAGCAAAGGAGAAGGAAGCCCTGGCGGTGCACCATATGGGGCCCTTTTCTGCCTCCGATTGCACTCTGCACATGCCCCTGAACCTCTACCATGACACACACCAATTTGAATTGGTGGCCCATCATCCACAAAGGCTTGTTCTGCATGGTGCAAGTGTATATATGTGTATGTATATAAACATGATGATTTCCTGTGCTGACCCTGCAAGGTGGGCCAAGATGCTGCCATGGAGGCCTCCTTGGTCTTTGGGAGAGATAATTCTAACAATGCTAGTATAATCATGTGAATGATAACTTTATTAGCAACCTTTCTCTCTGTCTCTCTCTCAGCCAGGCCTCTTGGGCCGGGGTAGGTAGGTGTCCATGGTGCCCAGTGGGAGGCTGCTCTTCTGGAAGTCCCCGGTGGCCAGGACGATGGGGCCCGAGTACTTGTCCCTGAACTGCTCCTTTGTCTCGGTTGAGAACCAGCGCTGGCCTTGCCAGGGGTGCACCAGGTGGGAGCGCCGCAGCTGGGAGGGAGGACAGAGGCAGCCAGGAGTCAAACTCTATCCATCCATCCACCTATCTACCTATGTACCTACCTATCTATCTATCCATCCACCTATGTATGTATGTATCTATATAACTATCTAGTATCTATCTTACCTCTCTCTCTCTCTCTCTCTCTATCTAATCTACCTATGTACATATGTATGTATGTATCTACATATCTATATATCTACCTACCTACCTACCTATCCATTCATCCATCTGTGTATGTATCTATATATCTACATAACACCCTATCTACCTATCTCTCTATCTATCTATGTATATATGTATGTATGTATCTACGTATCATTCTTCCTACCCATGTATCTATCCATCTACCTATGTATGTATCTATGTATCTATGCAACAACTTATCTATCTTCCTACCTACCTATCTACCTTTCTATCTATCCATCCATCCACCTGTCTATCTATGTATCTACGCAACAACATATCTACCTACCTACCTTTCTTTCTTTGTATCTATCTATCCATCCACCTATGTAGGTATCTATGTATCTACGCAACAACTTATCTACCTACCTACCTTTCTACCTATCCATCCACCTATGTATGTATCTATGTATGTATGCAGCAACTTATCTATCTATCTACCTACCTATCTATCCATCCATCCATCCATCCACCTATGTATGTATCTATGTATCTACGCAACAACTTATCTACCTACCCATCTACCTTTCTATCTATCTATCCATCCACCTACGTATGTATCTATATATCTACGCAACTTATCTACCTACCTACCTGCCTATCTATCTATCTATCTATCTATCTATCTATCTATCTATCCACCTATGTATGTATCTATGCAACAACTTATCTACCTACCTACCTACCTTTCTATCTAACTATCAATCCACCTATGTATGTATCTATGTATCTACGCAACAACTTATCTTCCTACCTACCTACCTACCTACCTACCTACCTACCTATCCATCCATCCACTTATGTATGCATCTATGTATCTATGCAACAACTTATCTATCTACCTACCTACCTTTCTACCTATCCATCCACCTATGTATCTAAGTATGTATGCAACAACTTATCTGTCTCTCCATCCATCCATCCATCCATCCATCCATCCATCCATCCATGTATATATGTATCTATGTATCTACGCAACAACTTATCTTCCTACCTACCTACCTACCTACCTACCTACCTACCTACATTTCTATCTATCTATCTGTCTATCCACTT